GCGTGGCGAGGCGTGCGAAAATGGCGCGATCTGGGTGAAATCCCCCGACAGGCGCCGGTCATCCTCTGGCGAGAAATCCCGACGACGAGCTGGGGTCATCCAAGCGTCAGCGACAACCAGCGCGCGCCGCTGGCTCGTGCGGGGCCGCTCCCCAGGTCAGGCCTCGCGGATGAACTCGCTGAAGCCCAGCTCTCTGGCGAGGGCCGTCGCCTCCCTCCTGCGCCGCTTCGTGCGCGCTGCAAACTGCTCCAGCTGCTTCCGCAAGCCCTCCGGCGGCCCTGCCAGGAAGAACTCGATGAGCGGCGCCCGCATGAGCAGGAGATCCTCGTGGCGCGTGGCGCGCGAGAGCAGCGCGTAGAGCTCCAGCCACCAGTCGTCGTCCTCCTTCTTGCCGTTCCCGACCTCGTGGCGGCCGCAGTCCAGGATCACGCCTGGGCCGCAGCCATTTGGGCCTTCGGTGGAGCTCTTCATGGGGCCACGAAACGTGTAAGGGGTGTGCCAAATATGGGGTGGCGGCGGCATGCGGACGCAGCCATTTGGGCCTTAGATGGAGCTCCCTATGGGGCCACGAAGCGTGTGAGGGGTGTGCCAAAATTGGGCGGCGGCGGCATGCGGACGCAGCCATTTGGGCCTTCGGTGGAGCTCCCCATGGGGCCAAACGAATGTGTGCAGCCCGGCGGCATGCGGACGCAGCCATTTGGGCCTTAGATGGAGCTCCCTATGGGGCCACGAAACGTGTGAGGGGTGTGCCAAAATTGGGTGGCGGCGGCATGCGGACGCAGCCATTTGGGCCTTCGGTGGAGCTCCCTATGGGGCCACGAAACGTGTGAGGGGTGTGCCAAAATTGGGTGGCGGCGGCATGCGGACGCAGCCATTTGGGCCTTCGGTGGAGCTCCCTATGGGGCCACGAAACGTGTGAGGGGTGTGCCAAAATTGGGCGGCGGCGGCATGCGGACGCAGCCATTTGGGCCTTCGGTGGAGCTCCCCATGGGGCCACGAAACGTGTAAGGGGTGTGCCAAAAATGGGGTGGCGGCGGCATGCGGACGCAGCCATTTGGGCCTTAGATGGAGCTCCCTATGGGGCCACGAAACGTGTGAGGGGTGTGCCAAAATTGGGCGGCGGCGGCATGCGGACGCAGCCATTTGGGCCTTCGGTGGAGCTCCCCATGGGGCCACGAAACGTGTGAAGGGGTGTGCCAAAATGGGCGGCGGCGGCATGCGGACGCAGCCATTTGGGCCTTAGATGGAGCTCCCTATGGGGCCACGAAACGTGTGAGGGGTGTGCCAAAATTGGGTGGCGGCGGCATGCGGACGCAGCCATTTGGGCCTTCGGTGGAGCTCCCTATGGGGCCACGAAACGTGTGAGGGGTGTGCCAAAATTGGGCGGCGGCGGCATGCGGACGCAGCCATTTGGGCCTTCGGTGGAGCTCCCTATGGGGCCACGAAACGTGTGAGGGGTGTGCCGATGATGATGATGATGATGATGATGATGATGATGATGATGATGATGATGATGATGATGATGATGATGATGATGATGATGATGATGATGATGATGATGATGATGATGATGATGATGACCGACAACCACGATGTGGATGATGATGATGACGATACTCATGATGATGAGCATGATGAGGATGGTGATGATGATGGGAGGAGGGGGGAGGGGGCAGCGGGAGGAGGAACGCGGGGCACCGTCTCTTCAAAACGAGGACCCAACACCACAGGATGGTTGGGAAAAACGTCCGTCATATTTTTTCACATCGCGAGGGGGTCTGCGCATCGCCCTCCCACTACCTTGCCGTCGCTCGGACGTCCACTCCGAGATTCGCCAAAATGGCTCCGAGCTTTGCCCTGGCCGCGCCGGAAGAGTGCAACCGTCCGACCCCTGCCCCCTTGGAGCGATGACCGACCGACTGTCCCGCCGCTCCTCTAGGCCTACCACGACCTCCTCCTCTTCCTCCTCCTCCTCCTCCTCCTCCCCGCCCTCCTCCTCCTCCTCCTCCTCCTCCTCCCCGCCCTCCTCCTCCTCCTCGTCGTCGTCCTACCACGACATGTTCTTAGAAGCCAAAAGCGTTGTGAGACACAATCGCGAGGTTCTTAGAACACGAAGCCGAGGTGTCAAAGCAGGACGGCCCCAGCCAGGGGTCGTGCAGGCCACAGAAGGCTCTTAGAGCATTCCCTGGTGGGTCCAGGGCTGGACCTAAACGTTGCTTCTGCCCCGACTGTAGGCAAGCCAGGACGCTTCGCCACTGCTCGACCCCGAGGGAAGGAGGAGGAGGAGGAGGAGGAGGAGGAGGAGGAGGAGGAGGAGGAGGAGGAGGAGGAGGAGGAGGAGGAGGAGGAGGGAGGAGGAGGAGGAGGAGGAGGAGGAGGAGGAGCGGGAGGTGGAGGAGGAGGAGGAGGAGGAGGAAGAGGAGGAGGAGGACGACGAGGAGGAGGAGGAGGAGGCGGGGAGGAGGAGGAGGAGGCGAGGAGGAGAGGAGGAGGAGGAGGAGTAGGGCGGGGAGGAGGAGGAGGAGGAGGAGGAGGAGGAGGAGGTGGAGGAGGAGGAGGAGGAGGAGGAGCACGAGGGCGAGGAGGAGGAGGCTTCGCAACGCCAGAGGCGCCGGCGCCGCCCCCGGGCGCCCTGGCCGCGGGGGGTCGCTGGCCCCTGCGACGCCAGCGGTCCACGGGCGGCCACCACGGGCCTGCAGCGGCGTGGCCCCCGGAGAGGCGGGCGCCGCGGCTGCGCGCGGCGACGACGACGACGACGACGACGACGAGGACGACGACGAGGACGACGACGAGGACGAGGACGAGGACGAGGACGACGAGGACGACGACGAGGACGAGGACGAGGACGACGACCACGAGAGCGAAGACGAGGGCGAGGACGAGGGCGAGGACGAGGGCGAGGACGAGGGCGAGGACGAGGACGAGGGCGACGGCGGCTCTGGATACGCCCGTCGTCCCTGGGAATTGGGGGAATTCTGGCCCAGGTCACTCCAGAACGGGGTCAGTCAAGCATTGCAAGATCCTGCAGGATCGTGCAAAATCCTGCACCCAAACTGGGGTCAATGCGAAGGATCATGTAAGATCCTGTAAGATCCTGCACCTTCACCCGGGTCAATGCACCCCTGGCCCTGCAGAATCCTGCAAGATCCGGCGCTCTGGCTGCCCCCCGTTTGCATTGACCCCCGTCTCTTGAGCCCCGATCGGCGACTCCGAAGGATGCGGTTTGCAAAAGGTGTGGTTTGCAACCGGCACCCTGAAGGGCGCCCTGGGAGGCGGGCGAGGACCTCAGCAGAGCTCTCCGCTGCCCCCCGAGGAGGCCCGACCGAGGACCGTGTCGTGCCCCCCGGGCCCCGACGGTGCCGATCGCAAACCACACCCCGGCGTGACCATACCCTTTGTAGTCGCCGACCCGGGGGAAGTCGGGAGCGGCCAAGAGGGGGGTGTCCAAGAGGGGGGGGTGCAAATCATGACCGGCGGCATGTGCGCGGCCCAGCAGGGGGGCCTGGGACGTAATGGAATAGGAAGAGGCGCCCTGAAATCTGGGGAAAGATCATGGCCCCCGCCATGAAATCCACCCCCCCCTACCCTGACCTTCCAGAGAGCTATTTTTTAGCACTGGAAACCTCAAAACCTAAAAAACGAGACGAAACAGCCTAAAACCAAGACGTAACATAGCTCTGGGATAGGTTTTTACGTCGGGTGCTATTTTTTAGCCCTCCTGGAAGGTCAGGGTAGTCACCACCACCCCTCCTTTCCGCTCCCGAAGCCCTCGCCGCACGCCGCCGCCCCGGCGATGGGAAGCCCCGCGGAGGGGGCGGAGCCCGGCGGCGAGGACAGCGGGCGGCGCGCACGCCGAGGCGCGCCCCTTCTCCCTGCGGGCACCGCCGCCGAGCAGTGCGCCCGGGGGATCGGCAAGGCCTCGCGGGGCCCGGCGCTCCGGATACAGTCGGGGCCTCGACCTAAGGCACCCGAAATAAGGAGCGAGGCCCCTCTGTTCCATAAGTTAAACTTCGATTTCCGATCGAGAGAACCCGAAATAAGGAGCGAGGCCCCTTTATTTTCCATGAGTAAGCCTCGATTTCCGATCGAAAACATAAGGAACACCTGAGGCAAGCTGCGAAACACTTGAGGAACGCGGAGCCCCTCCCCAACCAAAAAAAGGGTTCCTCCTTCAGGGCCCCGACTGTACAGTGGAGGCCCGACCGCAAGAAGCCTTCCACAAGACACCCGACCCTGAGACCCCAGGCCGTCCATGGATTGGTGGTGTGGGGACACCACGCTCTCCATCGCAGAACCACCGAGACCCAGGAAACCCGATGGCACCCTGGAGGCAAGCAGGGTGCTTCTCGGCACGGGCCTCCCCTGTACTGACTGCGCGCCTGCACAGGTGGAAGCGTGGTCGCAGGGACGTGGGCCGAGAGCCCCAGACCCCCGGCGTCGTGATTTTTTCACGACGTCGCCCCCCAGAGGTCTGGACCACTTCCCAGGGACCGGCTTTTCGTCCTGCATCGTTTTTTGACGGTCCCGAGGCCCGGGAAGGGCCCCCAGAGGCCAAAAATAGCGAAAAACCTCCCGTCGTGAATTTTTCATAACTCGAGGGGGCCGAGAGCGTGGGCGCCCCATCGCTGACGTCTCGAGGCCCCGTGGAGCCGCCCACGGCGAGAAGTCCCCCGAGGTGGAGGGCCCGGGCAGGCAGAGCCCAAAGGATGCCCCTCCAAGGCTGGGGCCCGTGCCATGGTCGGAGGCTTGGAAATGGGCACCACCACCAACACAGGGGGTTGCCTCCACCACGGGGAAGATGATCCTAGATTTCGGTGCTGGTGGTAATATTTCGGTCACCTTGGAAGCCAGAATATTACCACCATCACCGAGATCGGGATCTTCTTCACTCGGTGAAGGCACACCGCCGATCTTGGTGTTGGTGTCAACCTCTCGGCCTGCGACATAGCCGCACCGTGAGATGGCACCACGGCTGCGATCGAGTGGCTGCCTTTTCTCGCTCAGGCTGCGCGGCTCCCTGGCAGAGGCGGCCGCCTGCTGTCGCACTGCTCTCCGTAGGGCGTGCCGATGCACGTCCCCACCCGTCGCATCTGCCAGTCGTAGTCCGCCCAGCTCACCTGGGAGAAGACACATCCTCATTCACAGAATTACGCCAGAGAACAAACCCCAATCAGTGGATGGCTTGCTCGATAAAGAGATCGATCGGGAACCCGGGAACCCGGAACCCAGCGAAATCGGCCCGGAGCCAATACCCAGGAACCCCGGAACCCGCGAACCCAGCCGGCCACCACAATCGGCGGGACACTTTCGCCGAATCTCTCAGTTTCCGCCAGAACACCCTCAGTGTGCCCCTTTCCAGGGCACGCTCCGCTGCATCTCCCCTCCGTTACAGCACGAGGCGTTGCCTATCTATGTGGAGCTAGGCATTCTGAGCAGGAGGAGGAGGAGGAGGAGGAGGAGGAGGAGGAGGAGGAGGAGGAGGAGGAGGGGAGGAGTGGAGGCGTGGGCGTGGGGCTCAAACAAAAAGGTCTGCGCTGATGTCCTGGATCAGCGCTGGGCCCATCCCCCTGGCGCGAGGAGCGCGCTGCAGCACCAGCGGCACCGCCAGGGGGGTCTGGCGCCGATCCAGGACAGCCGCGCGGGCTCCCCGAAAGAGTGTGTGTCTGTTGAGCCTCCTCTTCCTCCTCCTCCTCCTCCTCCTCCTCATCCTCTTCCTCCTCCTCCTCCTTTCTCCACTGTCCTCCTCCTCCTCCTCCTCCTCCAAGACATCCGCGCGGACCGACCGTCCCGGCATCCGAATCGGCCTACCACGAAGTGTTCTTGGAACCAAAACGTGTTCTAAGAACAGCAAAAATGTGCTTAGACCATTCGCCCGATGTGTTCAAACAAGACAGTCTCAGCCAGAAATGTTCTAAGAACATTTCGTGCAGATCACGAAAAAGGTTATCAGAACATTCTGTGGGGGCCTATAGTCGAGCCAAGACGCTTCGCCACTGCTTGAGTCTGTACTATTTGAAACTGTTCGCAGCTATCCCAGGCACCCGGTGTCTTGCGATTCTCAAGCCGGGCCCCCCAGATGCCTGGACCTTCTTCCTGGTGCTGCCCCTTCGTCCAAAATTGCTGTTCACGGTCCCGGGGCCCGGCGAGGGCCCCCAGGGGCGGAGCACTCGGAAAACACTTCTGCGTGGGGCGTCTCGAGACGTCAGGCCCAGACATCCGACGTCTGCATTTTGTCGGGACATGGGCCTCTGGCCTCCCGACCACTTCCCCGGGACCCTTTTTTCGTCCCCGGCCGTTCTCTGACGGTCCCGAGGCCCAGCGGGGGCCCGAGAGGCCAAAAACGACGACAACCCGCCATGTGGATTTTTTGAGTCGCCTGAGGAGGAGGAGGAGAAGGAGGAGGAGCGAGAGGAGGAGGAGGAGGAGGAGGAGGAGGAGGAGGAGGAGGAGGAGGAGGAGGAGGAGGAGGAGGAAGGAGGAAAAGGAGGAGGAGGAGGAGGAGGAGGAGGAGGAGGAGGAGAGCGAGGGAGGAAGAGGAGGAAGAGGAGGAGGAAGAGGAGGAGGAGGAGGAGGAGGAGAGGAGGAGGAGGAGGAGGAGGAACGAGAGGAGCGAGATGAGGGAAAGGAGGAGGAGGAGGAGGAGGAGGAGGAGGGGAGGAGGAGAGGAGGAGGAGGAGGAGGAGGAGGAGGGGAGGAGGAGGAGGAGGAGGAGGAGGAGCGAGATGAGGAGGAGGAAGAGGAAGAGGAAGAGGAAGAGGAGAATGAGGATGAGGATGAGGATGGGGATGAGGAGGAGGAGGAGGAGGAGGAGGAGGAGGAGGAGGAGGAGGAGCGAGAGAAGGAGGAGGATGGGCTGGGCGGGGTGGGTCGGGCTCCTGTCGGTAAGGAACCCAAAACAAGGAACGAGGCCCCTTTTTTCCCATAAGATAAACTTCGATTTCCCATGGAAAACCTAAGGAAGACCCAAGGCAGCTGTAAAACAACCCAGGAACACCGAGCACCCCCAACGAAAAGGGTTCCTTCTTCAGCGCCCCGACTGTAATTACCCATATCCCCATATGGCCCATGATTACTCGGGCCTCCAACGGCGTGAGTGAGTGAGTGAGTGAGTGAGTGAGTGAGTGAGTGAGTGAGAACGTGGCGATCCAGGCACCCGCAAAGCGCTCTCGGCGAGGCGCAGCCGCTGGAAAGTACTCCGAGGCTGGACAGCCGCCGAGAGCCGACGAAACCGCGCGAGAACACCTCGATCCTGGAGCCTCGAAGACCTCGAACCCCGAGCCCCGGCCCCGAGCCTGCCCGACTTCGGGTCCGCCGTGCCGTGGGCGGCATCTAGGGGAGGAGGAAGAGGAGGAGGAGGAGGAGGAGGAGGAGGAGGAGGAGGAGGAAGAGGAGGGGGAGGAGGAAGAGGAGGGGGAGGAAGAAGAGCAGGGCGGCACTGCCCGCCCGACTGGTGCAGAGTGGCGCGCGAGGGACGCACCTGCGCGAGCGGCGTCGACCCTCGGGCCCTCGAGAGCCTCGCACGCCGCGACGCCCGCCCGCCCGCCCCCTGCCGCTGCCTTTGGAGCCCCTGGCCATCGCTCGGGCGGCCACTCCCTGTGTTTTGTTGTCGGTTTCTTCGGGCGTGGTTCTTTCGCCAAGCGATCCAGGATGCTCCTCGATGGTCCTCGCCGAGGGACAAAGGAAACATGCACACGTCCGAGCGATGCCAAGGCCAAGACAGGGCCAGGATCGGGATACATCGCTCCAGAGCGTTCCGGAGCGCTCTCAGAGCGTTCCGGAACGCTCTGGAGCGGCCGCGGCGCCCAATACATCCTCCAAACCCGCCGATTCTCAGAGATTTCCAGCTATCCCGATCCGATTTTGTCCCGATCTTCGCGTCGTTTTATCGATGGTCCTCGCCGAAGGAAACGTGCACCCGTCCGAGCGATGCCGAGGCCCTGCAGCTCGGAAGCCCTGGTCGCCGCTCGGCCCGCCGCCTCGCCGTACAGCGGGTCCCCGGGCACCAGGTACTTCGCCACCCGGTTCCGCACGCCGACCCGGCCGGCAGCCGCGTCCAGCAGCTGGCCGGGGGGTTGCTCGAGGTGCCCCGGGCCCAAGGTGACAACCTATCAGACCACCCCAACCCAACCCGAAGACCCGAATTTCGGGTGGGGGGGGGGGTACGGGTTCCATATGTGTTTTCTCTGTGTTCCCTGGCCCCCCCCCCACTGGAAATGGAGGGCAAATTGGGGCCTTCGGGTTGGGTTGGGGTGGTTCGGTGGGTGGTGGCAAGGTGTCCCCAGCCGTTGGCTCCACTCTGGAGCCCTCGGGGCCCCGTCAGCGTCAGGTCGGGCGCATGTCCTCCTGCAGGCGGATTTTTGGGGCGAAAGTTTTGAGATAGTTGAAACACACCCCCATTCACAAAAGCAAGCACAAGACATCCCCAGACGATCGTTTGACTATGATGCACTGCTCCCCTTGTGGAGGGGCATGCCCGAGTGAACCCGAGGTGCCCCCCGCCGTTCGCTCCTCCTCGGAGCCCCCGCGGGGCCCCGTGGGGGGGGATGCTCGGGAGGCCGGGGCGGCCTCCGCGGAGATCCCCTGGGAAGCACCTCGGGCCAGGGGGCACTCCTGGCAACCGCCCGAGCTGGTACTGGTTGATCACCTCGAAGTCGCCCACGTCGTCGACGTCGTCGTCGGTGGCCGTCACCTGCCGGAACAGCTCGGAGGACAGGAACGTGTCCTCCCCCGCGCGCTCGCCCCGCGCGGCGTCGAGGCGCAGGCGCACGGTGCGCACCAGCTCCACGCCGCCCTCCTCCACGGGGCCAGGGACATGCTCTCTGTGTGCCATGCTGTGGGCGCCCAGCACTCCGTGGCAACCTGCGGCCCACACGCCACGCATGCACTTTTAACGGCACCCGTCGCCTGGAGAGCCCGCCGGGAAATTCCGCCACACGCTGCCCTGTGGCGTTTCTGCGCTTCCCGAGACTATGCACCACCACCACCACCACCACGTCGATTCCTCCTCCCTCCTCCACCCTCTTCATTCCTCTCTTCCTTCCTGGCGGAGGAAGCGGGAAGGAGGGAGGCGGCGGTGGTGGTGCACATGTGTGGGCCCCGCAGTCTCCGCGAAGCCCCCACGGGACAGGGCCCAGACGCCCCAGCGCCCTACGCGGGCTCGTGTCGTGACGACCCCAGCGTTGGTTTCTGACACCGCGTGGATCGTTCATAGGGGAACAAAAAGTGACAAAAACATAAGGACTCGGAGGTCCGCGAGGATTTCTCGGATCGGCGCTGGACCCCCCTCCCTGGCGCGCGGAGCGCGCCAGGGGCGGCGCTGGAGGCGCCGCCAGGGGGCCCCAGCGCCGATCCGAGAAATCCGCACGGACCTCGGAGTTTTTATGTTTATGTCACTTTTTGTTCCCCTAGGAACGCTCGGCGGCTCATCGATTGCCAGGTCGTTCCACACTGGTGAAGGGGCCCTGGGACACACAAATAAATACACACACATAACAGGATTCCCCTACATTCTCCCATACTTTCTGGTTCTTTGTCTTCCCCCCACTTCCCACTTTTTCCCATATTTTCCTGGGAGTCGACGATTCATGGTGTCTGTGTGTTTTTTCTCTTGACTGATTCTGGGCCCCTGGCGGCGGTCGGCCTCGAGCGCCCTGCGGCGGGCCGCCACGGCGCGACCCTCTGCCGTGCGCGCGCGGCTCCCCCTCCTCCACGGGGTACGCCACCAGCACCCTCACGGGCCTCTCCCGCGGGTCGCCCTCGCCGATGACCTGCCGCCCGCCGCGCCCCAGGAAGGCCCGCACCTCCTGCGCCTGCCGGGGAGCTGCCAGGGCGGGGAAGCATCGACCTCACGACGATCAAACACGGGTCTTACGCGAGATGGCATAGATGAAGGGGCCCCAGGACACACAAAAAAATTCACACACGCACACACATATAAACAGATTCCCCGTATGTTCGCATATTTTCTGGGTTTCTGTCTTCCCCCCCACTTCCCATATGTTCCTATATTTTCTGAGGAATCGAGGATTAATTGTGTATGTGTGATCTTTCCTCTCCTGAATAGAGGAGGGCAGAACATCCACCCCCATAACAATCACCCCGACAAGCGAGGCCGTTTCGTAAATGCACCCAGGGAAGGAATCGAGCAGGGCAGGGCTGTGTATTAGTAAACGCCTAGGGCCATCTGGTAAACGCCAATTGTCGGGCCCGGATGGTCTTTCCTCCCTTGACGTAGCGACCTTCACGCGGCGGCTTGCGCGGGCCGCCAGCGCGGCACGCTAGGTTGGAGACGAGGGCGCCTCCGCGCGACCTTACGCGGACAGCTCACGCGCCCACGTCGGCGCGGACGACCTCGTTTTTTCGCGGCGCTCACCTGGAATCGGCGCTGCATCGCAGATGGTCGGCGATGGGCCCCGACAGCGAATCCCCATGTTCCCAGGAGGGTCGAGCTACTGCATCGGGCCCCACCTGGGGGGCAAACAAACCTACCTCGCCTTTGACCACCCTCGCTTCCAAGAGATACCAAACGATGCCACACTGCGGCCTGCACTGGTCAGGCCGCTTGACGGGGAGGCGCGTGGTATGGCTTGGCCTTGCCTGGAAGCGAAAGCGGGGGAGGTAATTCCCGCTCTGACCACAAGCGATCAACGGGCGACTGGGGGTCCGGCGCCCCCCCCCGAGGAGGAGGAGGAGGAGGAGGAGGAGGAGGAGGAGGAGGAGGAGGAGGGAGGAGGAGGGGGAGGAGGAGGAGGAGGTGGAGGAGGAGGAGGAGGAGGAGGAGGAGGGGAGGAGGAGAGGGAGGAGAGGAGGGAAGGAGGAGGAGGAGGAAGGAGGAGGAGGAGGAGGAGGAGGAGGAGGAGGAGGAGGAGGAGGAGGGAGGAGGAGGAGGAGGAGGAGGAGCCCCCCCCCGTGAGCAGATGCCCCATCTCCGATGGTCTTGGCCCCTTCTAGGTCGGGACGCTCCGGGCCCCCCCCCGGAACGCTCTCGGCGAGTCGCCGCCGCGGGAACGCCTCTCTCGGGGAGACGTAAGACCCGGGTACACACAATGAATGCACACAAATGAATGCACACAAATGAACAGATTCCCCACATTTTCCCATATTCTCTGGGCTCTTGTCTTCCCCCCCCCCATTCCCACATGTTCCCAGATTATCTGGGGCATCGTCGATGAATTGTGCCTGTGTGTTTCTCTCCCTCCTGTCAGGGAGGCGTAAGACCCGGGTACGGGGGACTCGGAAATCCCCGACGAGGTCGTCCAAAAAATGACGAGGCCGAGCCTGCATCTTGACGAGGCCTCCCGCTGCAGACGTCTCACAAAACTCCTCCTCGTCAAGATCCGAGTCGCGGTCGTCAAAAAACGACGGCGAACCCGAGTCCTGGCAAACCCGGGTCTTACGCTCCCCCGAATCTCGAGGCTGGACGACCGCCGAGAGCGGACGAGAACGCGCGAAGACGTCGATCCTCGAGCCTCGAACACCTGGAACCTCGGGCCCCGCCTGGAGCCTGCCAACTTCGGATCCGCCGTACTTTGGGCGACTTCGCAAGTGGGGCGGACATGTCCGCTTCTCTTTTCGAGCTTCGTTGATGCCGATGTCTGCCATACCGTTGTGGAACTATCCGCCCTGCACTGCTGACGCGGAAAAAAACGCACTACTTCTTCCCATGCTTTGAGGTGCATTTCCGATACAAGGAGCATCATCCAAAATACGGCGGATCCAGAGTCAGGGGTCTGCCCTGCCGGGGGCAAGGGGTGGTGGTGGAAGATGTAGATCGAGGCGATGATCGAGGTCTGAGGTCGTCACGTGTCGAGATCAGGGGCAACGCCGAAGCTTCTGTGCGTCGCGACGACGAGGACGAGGACGAGGATGACGACGACGATGGCCCCTGAGATCCGATAGCGCGAACACTAGCCTGGCAAAGGACCCAACCAGATGCAGTTGTGAATACCGCAGTTGCGGGTATCGTCTTCGGTGGAGCTCCCCATGGGGCCACGGAACGCTGCACTGGGTGGGGGGGACGCATGTGGACGGTGCCACTGGGACGTTCGGTGGAGCTTCCCATGGGCCACGACACGCTGTACTGGGTGGGGGGGACGCATGTGGACTTTGCCACTGGGGCCTTCGGTGGAGCTCTGTAGGGCCACGAAGCGCTGTACTGGGTGGGGAAGATGCATGCGAACTTTGCCACTGGGGCCTTCGGTGGAGCTCCCTATGGGTCACGACACGCTTTACCAGGTGAGGGGACGCATGCGAACGTTACCACTGGGGCCTTCGGTGGAGCTGCCTATGGGGCCACGAACGCTGTTCTTGGTGGGGGGAATGCATGCGAACTTTGCCACTGGGGAGACGCATGTGGACGGCTCCTTATGGGGCCACGGAACGTTTTACTGGGCGGGGGAGACGCGTGCGAACTTTGCCACTGGGGCCGTCGGTGGATCTCTCTATTTGGCCACGCAACGCTGTACGGGCTGGAAGGGGCGCATGCGGACGGTGCCACTGGGGCCTTCGGTGGAGCTCCCCATGGGGCCACGAAGTACTGCACTGGGTGGGGGGGACGCATGTGGGCGGTAGCGCTGGGACCTTCGGAGGAGCTCCCTATGGGGCCACGAAGCGCTGTACTGGGCGGGACGCGTGCGGGCGGTAACACTGGGACCTTCGGTGAAGCTCCCTATGTGGCCACGCAACGTTGTACTGCGTGGGCGGGGACGCATGCGGGCGGTAGCACTGGGGCCTTCGGTGAAGCTTCCTGTGGGGCCACGAAGCGCTGTACTGGGTGGGGGGGCGCATGCGGGCGGTAGCACTGGGACATAAGACTGAGGAGGCGCCCGGGCTGCCCGCCGGGGAAGATTGGACGCCGGCAAATGTGGAGACAGACCCGCCGTGCAGCGTCCTCCAGAACCGGGGAGCGAAGTGCCCTCAGAGCCCACGCGCGCGCGCCTCATGACCGCCACCGCCCCGTCCTCGCCGAAACCTCCTCCTCGTCTTCCACCGCCACCTTCTTTTCATCCTCATCCTCATCCTCATCCTCGCTTGTCGTTGTCCTCGTCCTCGTCCTCCTCCTCCTCCTCCTGCCCCTCCTCCTCCTCCTCCTCCTCCTCCTCCTCCTCCTCCTCCTCGTCGCCCTCAGTCCTCCTCATCATCCCCCTCTTCCTTCTCCTCCTCGATTTTGCTGTTGTGGAATCAACATGGTGTGGGTCGCGGGGTGGGTCGCGGGTGAGTCGCGGGGTGGGTCGCGGACGGTTGGGTCGCGGGTGGGTCGCGGGGTGGATTGCGGGGTGGCGTGGGTCGCGGATGGGTCGCAGGTGGGTCGCGGGTGGGTCGCGAGTGGATCGCGGGTGGGTCGCGGGTGGGTCGCGGGTGAGTCGCAGGTGGGTCGCGGGTGGGTCGGGGGTGGGTCGCGGGTGGGTCGCGGGGTGGGTCGCGGGTGCGTCGCGGGTGGGTCGCGGGGTGGGTCGCGGGGTGGGTCGCGGGTCGCGGGGTGGGTCGCGGGGTGGGTCCCGGGTGGGTCGGGGGTGGGTCGCGGGTGGGTCGCGGGGTGGGTCGCGGGTGCGTCGCGGGTGGGTCGCCGGGTGGGTCGCGGGTGGGTTGCGGGGTGGGTCGCGGATGGGTCACGGGCGGGTCTGGGTGGGGATGGGGACGACGCAACAACACAACAACAACAACAACAACAACAATCACTTTACCCGAACGCTCAGTGTTCTCACCAGTGCCAGGGTTTTCATGCGACGCCAGCCAATACCCCCACTTTGTGGGGGGGCAATGCAAGCTCTACCAAATATCCACACGACTCTTCGCCACCACCCACACCCAGCTTCCCGCCCTATGACGTTCGGACACTTCACTTCGTGGCCTGCGGACGACCGTGGCTACTACACTGGCGTGGAGTACACACCCACAGAAGTTGTTAGGACAGCGCGCGCGGGTAGAAATTTTGAAAAGTCGTGCAGGTGTTTTTCGAAGACCTACGGTGCGATTCGTGTGATTTTATGATGCGCGGTGCTAAAATTCTTAAAAACCCAATGGTTTTTGGAGATTTCGGCGTGCGCGCGCGAAGAAAAAACGAATGTGTCCCGCATGGTATTATTTGACAGGGATGATGGCCCTGGCAGGTGCGCAACCGTTGTCGCAGAAGTTCGAAAAAGTTGCTCGCAAAAGCCCGTTTGACAGAAATGTTTAAAAAGTGTTGGGTTTCCTACGAATCCGCAAGAGCGCGCGGGATGAGATTTTGACATTTTTTTGTTGAAAAACCATTGGTTTTTTTGATGTTTTTATGTTAAAATCGCTCCGAACACTAAGCTTTTGGAAGGATTTCGTCTTGCGCGCGCGAATGTCCACTTTACCTTATTTTTTGCAAGGGATTCTTGAAATTTGATTATATTAGAACAAGAAATGTCATTTTATAGTGTTTTTTGCAAGGGAAAGCGGATTACAACAAAACAACCGGATCTTGATCACATCGAATTACCTGAGGCTTCCTCACGAAAATGATGAAAATGTAGCTGCGGCCTAGGCGGCGCAGGGGGGCCGTGCACCAGGGGTCCCAACAATAATTATTCTTTAGAATTAATAATGTTCAACAACACCAACAACAAGAACAATAACAAGAACACGAACAATAACAATAACAATAACAAGAACAACAACAACAACAACAACAGCAACAGCAACAACAACAACAACAACACCAACACCAACAACAACAACAACAACAACAACATCAACAGCACCACCACCACCACCAACAACAACACCAACAACAACAACAACAGCAACAGCAACAGCAACAGCAAAAGCAACAGCAACAACAACACCAACAACACCAACAACACAAGCAACAACAACAACACACAACAGCAACAGCAACAACAACAGCACCACCACCACTACCACCACCAACAACACCAACAACAACAACAACAGCACTCACAACACCAACAACACCAACACCAACACCAACACCAACACCACCACTACCACCAACACCAACAACAACAACAACAAGACCAACAACATCAACAACGACACAAGACAACAACACAACAACAACAATAATCCTCGCCGTGGACCCCCACTCCAGCCACGCACCCAGGGAGAGTGAATGACCGTTCGGGCCCCCTCACTCTGATAGGGCCACGAAGCGCTGTACTGGGTGGGGGGACGCATGCGGGCGGTAGCACTGGGACCTTCGGTGGAGCTTCCTGTGGGGCCACGAAACTTGCGAGTGGTGCGCCGACATGGGTGTGGCGGACACATGCGGGCGGTGGCACTGGGAGGATGATGATGATGATGATGATGATGATGATGATGATGATGATGATGGTGGTGGTGGTGGTGGTGGTGGTGGTGGTGATGGTGATGCTGACGATGATGAGCGGAGGGAGGATAAGAGCGGAGGGCAGAAGCAAGGGGCGAGATGAAGGATGGGGAATGGGGGCAGCGGGAGGAGGAAGGAGAGCGCGGGGCGCTCTCTTCATAACAAAGACCCAACGCCACGGTTGGGAAATATCTTGTAAAAAGAAACGACCGAAACCGTATGACACTTCTGTCGGTGCCATGTTTCGAGCCCGCTCGATCTGAGAGGGCTCCGGGGCCCGAAAGCAAGCGACAACGCCGAGCTCGAAACACTTGAGATGCCATGAGCTCGAGGACGACGACGACGACAACGACGACGCCCCCCCAACTCGGGGGCGGCCAAGAGGGGGGCGTCCAAGAGGGGGAGGCGCAAATCATGGCCGGCGGCATGTGCGGGGGCCGGGGACGTATTGAAATAAGAAGAAGCGCCATGAAATCAGGGGAAATGTCATGGCCCCCGCCATGGTATTCACCCCGCCCCCTCCCCGCCGCCCTCGACAACTTCCCAGACATGCGACGTCCTGACTTTTTCAGGACGGCGTCTGTGGAAACCCCGACCCTTTCCCCGGGACCGGCTTTTCGTCCCGAGTCGTTGTTTGATGGTCCCGGGGCCCAGCAAGGGCCCCTAGAGGCCAAAAGCTGGGCAAAATCTCCGTCTTGATTTTTTCCATAGGTTGGATCTCTAGAAACTTTGCAAAACAGCGCCTCGTCGACACCCAGAAATGCGCCACCTCCTTCTTCCTTCTCCTTCCATCTCCTCCTCTTCCTCCTCCTCCTCCTCCTTTCCCTCCTCCCCCTTCCCTCCCCTCCCCCTCCTCCTCCTCCTCCTCCTCCTCCTCCTCCTCCTCCTCCTCCTCCTCCTCCTCCTCCTCCTCCTCCTTTTCCCAACTTTGCTCCGCAGCGCCGCGTTGAACGCCCGGAACTGCACCACGGGGCCCGGCGCGGCCGCGGGCGCCCCGGCCTGGGGCGCGCCGGCCTGGGCGAGCCGCCACTGGCCCCGGCCAGCCGCGCCCTGCGCCGCGGCCGGGTGGGCGCCCTCCTCGGGTCACCGCGGAGGGTCGGGGAGAGGAGGAGGAGGAGGAGGAGGAGGAGGAGGAGGAGGAGGAGGAGGAGGAGGAGGAGGAGGAGGAGGAGGAGAAGGAGGAGGAAGAGGAGGAGGAGGAGGGACTACCTGGGCCTTACCTTGCTGACGATTATGTTTGTCAACGCTCCATTTTGTGCCACGGCCGCTTCGTCATAGAGCGGGCGGACGAGGGGCACAAAAACCCCGGAGAAAAAAACACAGTGAGCGAACTGATAAAATTCTGAAACCAAAAACACTTCTCTGGAACCGAAGTTTTGGGTTTGCTCTGGGAGGCGAAGGGAAGCTTGAACCGCGCGGTTGCGGTCCAGCACCTCCCCCTTTCCCTTGCACGCACCCTGGATGGACTACCTGGGTCTTGCCATGCTGACGATTCTTCTTGTCAGCACTCCAGTTGTGCCACGGCCGCTTCGCCATAGAGCGCGCGGACGAGGGACACAAGAGCCCCGAACAAAAAAACAGAGTGAGCGAACTGAGGGAATTCTGAAGCTAGAAATTCCCCAAACCTCCCGATCCAAAGGTAGAGTGACGCTTTCAGATTATATGATCACTGCGGGCTTCCGAGACCAGGATGGAAGCCAACACGTGTGCCAACGGCGCAGGTAGGGCATCGCGAGGAGCGTCCACCGCACTCCACCTGTCCCGGCTCCTTCGAAGTGCTGGTGGGGCACCCGAGCGGCCACATAATCTGCGTCCGGAGCAAACCCTGGTGAGTTTTGGATAAACATTGCCAAACAAAAAACAAATCCTTTTGTTTCGCCAAGGCTTTCCCCATGTACAAAACTCCAAAACAACAGAAACAGCGTGACTGCGCGAAGCAAGGGTCCGAAGCTCAGGATCGCACCACATCTTAAACGTGTGCGGGTTCTCGAGAGACCAGGGGGCCCCGGCTGCTCGAGCAGCTTTGGCCAGGTCAAGAACTGCGTCCAACGTGGCGTTCCCGATGGCAACCTTGGCAGAGCGAGCCGGGCGCGTTCGATCTCGAGCGGCTGACCAAGACCTGAAGGGGGGCGAACACTAAACCGATACAGCGGCCGCCGGCGACATTCCGTTTGATAGGCCCACGGACGTTGGGATCACGCAGGTCACCCGAGGGCGCGTGGAAGAGGCCCCACTCGCGGGCGCAAAAACTAGCCAGACGAACTTTCTTGCTCACCACCCCGCAACTCGAAACACAATCTGCAATCGCTACTCATTCGCCCATGCCGGCGACCGAAGACTAAATGGGGCACGCCTGCCTAGGTGCACGTCCGCGAGCAGTGATGCGCAGCGAACGCAATCGCTTCTGGTCAGAGCGCCTAGCCTCTCGACCTCCAGCCCCGCTCGAGCATGCTTTCTGTGCCGTACATCGGGCAGGCAACGGAGGGCATGGAGCCTGTCCTGTGAGGCCCCGCTGTGGCGAAGCTGGCAGGGCACGAGACTCGATCCGAGCGCCGCCCCCGCGGCCTGCACGTCGACTAGCAGGTGCTGATATGCGAAAGGGGAGGTTTGCACCGCAGCCGGCCATGTGTTGATTTGTTTGTAGACCACGTGCGTGCAGCTATACTTGAGCGCCATCACGCCCGGCGGGGGGCCGCCATCCTTCCTGCCGACCTCGGCGGGGGCGCCCAGCTCCCCAGGCGCCGGCGGCAGGGGCCAGCGTCGAGAGACTGATCCGATCGGCGCCATGACGCGGCCGCGCCTCACGCCGAGCAGCCCCGATGGGCCGCGCAGGACAAGCGGGTGGCTTCTCCCCCCCAATCGTCTGCAGGCCAGACATGGACGACACCGTCACGGCGATGCACGGCGCCCCGTCCCATCGGCATGGCGGGCGGAGGCCCGGCCTGCGCAGCTTGGCCCGGTAGTGGAGCTGGGAGACCAGGGGTTGGTAGTAGTCCTTGGTATTCGACTGCGCGGCCTCGGATGCGAGCTGGGCGCCCAGCGGGCCCATGGCGAGCGGGGCGTCGGTCTGAAAGTCGCTCCGCATCTGCCTGCCGCGCGCCCCCGTGGCCTCGCCCAAGTCCTTGCTGTTTGATCCCTCCGCTGCGGCCGCCGGCGCGTCGCTGCCCGGGTTGTAGCTGGCCACCGCGTGGTCGATGGCGATCAGCGGCCCCGCCGGCGCCTCCCCCGCTGTCCTGTCGCTCAGCTTCGGCGGCGCGTGCCTGCCCAGCGAGTCTAGCGCCGCCGCTCTTGAGGTCCGTCTCCGCGCCGACGACGAGGGCGTCGGTTGCGAAGGCGGTGGGCTCAGTGGCCCGCGCCTCCGCAGCTGGGCAGGCAGCGCTGCCTTCGCCGGTGTGGGCGGGATCAGGTGCACTGACCCGCCCGCGGCTTGCTTCCCTCGGCGCCGCGCGAGGGGTCGTCAGCCAGCACGGGCTCCGATCTGATCCAACGGAAATGCGGGCGGAGTGCTGCAACGCGCCATTGTTCTCACGCCTACCCCGAGCGAGTGACAGAGCAATGGCCATATTGTCCACCAAGAACTGATTTCGACTGTTTGGGACCCCTGTGGCGATCAAGCTCTCCAGGCCAAGAACCAACGCTCGGGCTCCAAGCTCCAGGCAGCGTTCTCCGAGCTTCCGCTCGCCTTTTCCAGCGACTCTCCAAAGTGATATCAAATCGCCCTCAGCGATGCAGCCCCGGGCCGAGAAAAGGCCCCCTTCCCCGAACGGCACCTCCGGAAACAAGCAGTCGACCATCCGGACCTCTTCCCAGAACGCATCGACAAGGCCTCTCCGATGTTGATGATGCTGGTGATGTCGTGGGGCGGCGGCGGGTGATGCTGGCCCCCGTCGTCGCGCAAAGGATGCAGCGCTGCGCTCGCTGCCTCGCGAGCTCTCGGGCTGCGCGCGCGCCGAAAGCGCGATGCCTCTGAGGTGCGAGCAATGCTGGCCACTGCTGCGGTCGTCAGTAAGCAACGGAAGTGCCCCCATCCCTCGAGGGAGGCATCTGCGGCAGCTACTGTCTCGCATCCGGGCAGATCCCGCGGCGCGCGCATCAGTGGCAGGAGGCCGATGAATGCCTGGAGCTCCTGCTGCACGGTTGGCCACGCGACGGCCGCAGAGTCACCGCGTCGGTGGATGATGGCATAGCAGACGTTGAACGCACGCAGGGCCGTCCGATCCAACAGGCTATAATGAACGCGGCGTGGCCGATGAGCCTCTCCAGCTGCTTGCCGCTGGCAACCTGCGTCTCAAGCCGGCGACTGTCCAATGCGCGGCCTAGCGTCTCGCCCCCGCTGCCTTCAGCTCGCGCTCGCGCGCCCCTGGGCCGACCGCGTAAAGAGCTGCGCAGCCAGCGCCCAGCGCGCGTTGCATGGGGACCTCGGCGCCCCCGACGACGTCCAAGTTGTCGACGCACAAGGCGCAGCGCACGTCGGCCCCTTTCTGCGGCGCGATCGGCTCGGCGTGGCCCGCAACTCCCCTACCCGGCCCGAGACGCGGAACACTGTCAAGCACCGCCTCGCTGCACCTGTGGGCAACCCACAGGGGCCGCGCAAATCCCATGGGGAACGACGCCAGGCAAGGATGCACGGGGTCGTCGCGGTCCGCGATGTCCCGCAGCGGTGCGTACTTCGCAGAGATCGGCCGCAGAGCGAAACACCGATGCGCGCCCTCGGGAAGGCGCAATCGATGCATGCAATTTTCCACGCCGCCGACTCCCATCGATCTAGAAGCCGCAGGCCAGGTCGACTTCGAAGCCAGGCTCGCACTGCACCCTGGACGGCCCCATCGCTCGTGATGAGGTCGGCGCGTGGAAGAGCTCTGAATCTTCGGCCCACCCTCCTCGCGTCAATGATGAGCCTCAGGGACTTGTCCTTCTTGCCCACGAAAAACAACTCGGCGCGTTCGATGGGCTCGGTGGTCCATCTGATCATGCCCCGACGGTCCAAGTCCAGGATGAGATGCCGGTACGTCTTTCGATTCCGAGACAGCGTTCTATCCAAGAGCGGTTTGATATCTCCCAACCTCTCGCTGAGCTGGTTGAACGCATCGGTAGACCGCAGCATGCTCTTTTGCCAACCCTAGACGATCTGGCGCTCCTCGGCGCCCCGCCCAGCACCTTCGTCGCGTCTGCAGCGTCGCGGGCGAGCTCGGGGAGCGAGGCGGAACCAAACTCGCAGGGCGCGACGGTGGTGTAGGTCTACCCCGCAGCATAGCTGATATGACCTCGGAGAAGCACGCGAACGGTTTCTTCCTGAGAGGGTGCAGTCCCCAGCTTGGCGATTGCAGGGGCGACTAGGGCCGCCGCGGCCTTCCCCTCGAATTCCGAAGGGGCCGAGCACGCCGACGCCCGCGCAACCAGACACCAGCGGAGCGCATCCAAAGCCTCGCTCTTGAGCCAGAAGCCCTCCGCGCCCAGTCCGCGTCTACGACGAGAACGACGGGGCGAGCCCCTCGGCCGGGCGGGGGCCTCGAAAGCGGGTTGGCGCCGATGCGCTCCCATGCAGGACCTGAAAACAGCGGCGTGGGCTGGCCCATCTCCCCCGCCGCTCGCCTCGTTCACGAGGCCGGCGGGGGCGCGGCGAGCCCGGCCTTGGCCTCGGCCTTTGCCCTGCCGGCTCCGCGTCTTCCGCCGCCCTTGCCGGGGCCCGCTGTTGGCGCCGAACCAGCGGCACCAGTGTCATCGTCGTGGCCATCGACCGCGCTCTTCGCGGCCAGCCCGCCGCGATGCGCGCTGCTCTCCAGCGCCTTCTCCTTGAGCTTCTTCGCGCCGTAGACGCGAAGGTCAGGAGCGACCGCGCCCCCCGGCATCGCCGTGCCCGAGCGCGCGCCGGCCATCGCGTAGTTCGGCTTGGCTCCAGATGCAGCGTGAGCTTCCAAGATGGCCTGGGACCTCCCCGTCGGCGCCTCGATCCGAGCAAGACGCGGCATGGTCGTAGCAGCCAAACATCTCGAAGCTCTCCGCCAGCGCCTGTTACTCGTGGAAGGCGCGGTCGGCGGGGGCAATGCGATTCTTTCGCCCCCGTGCCTCCAGCCGCGATGTCGGCGCGGGGCCGAAGCGGTCGACGCGCTTCATCGCACTTGTGGGTCGCGCGCGGGCCAGCCAGCGGCCAGCCCCGAAAGGCGTGTGACGAGGGCCCCCCACGCACCTCATTCGACGCCCTTGTGGCGGCCCCCTTGGGCGCCCCAGTCGACCTCCAGCACTCGCGCGTCGGGGCGGAATCGGCTCCGACCGCCGGCGCCGCCGCCGCCGCAGGGAGAGGCGCGTGGAGCGGACTGCCCTTCCGCCGGCCCCCCCGCCGGAAGGCGGCGGCAGGGGCTGCGCCCAGCGTAAGCTTGGGTTCGGGCGCGGCCCGCGTGGGTCCTGAACTCCTCCTCGGAGACCCCGGGATCCGCGGCGATCGCCGGCGCCTCGATGCCCGCGTCCGACGCGGCAACCCCGAACGCTCGACCTGAGAAGACCAGCAGGTGCGGCGAGACAACGCTGCCCAGCTCCCCGAGGGCCAGTCCAAGCTCAACCACGCGCCGCATGGTCGTCGGTGGGTGTCCGGCTAGGGCGTCGGCGAGAGCGTCGGCCAGGGCGCTCCCCCTCGCGTCGCCACCAAGCCCATGGCGCGACCGCGCCGTGGCCGTCGGCGGCACGGGGGGGGGGGGCCCGAGCACTGGCAGCGACCCGCGCCCCCGTGCCCGCCGTGGCCGCGGCGCGGCCTCGAGCGCGCCCTCGCCGGTGATTCAGCGCCCCGGCGCCGGCCAGTCTGGTAGCCCGCGCGCCCGTCTCAGCCCATCGGCACGTAGCTGGGCAGCGCCCATCAGATCCAGCAACTCCCCCCGCTGAATCGGAGCATCAAACTGTGCGATATTCGCGGCCTCGATTCCTGCAAGCTCACCGGGCGCTTTCCGCGGACACCACCTTGTCATGCAAAGTCGCGTCCTCGCCATGGAAGCCCCCGTGTGTGTGTACCGGCCAGCGCGAGGGGGGCAGTGGCCAGATGAGCAGGCGTTCGTGGCCCCAAGCGTCACCTTCGAAGAGCACCACGAACGCGTGCCCTGGCAAGGGCGTAGTGCGCTCGACGATGGCCATATGCCTCGGAGTCGGCTCGGCACCCGCACGATGACAGAAGTCCGCTCAAAAACGTACCTGACGCGCCCAAGCCAATCTGCCACCAACTGGCTGGCGTCGCGTCCTCGCGAGCCAGCTCGATGCTGACCGTCGACTCGCACTTCGTCACGGGCGGCTCGACCGTCTCCTCGCACCTCTCCGGTGCCGGCGCCGTTTCGACTCCTCGGCATAAGACCCCAACCCCAACGCCTGTGCAAGGGTCGATCAGAAAAGAATGTGAACAGTTGACGGGCCAAAAACATCACAAGTACAGGTGTGTAGTGGGCAAGATGCTATGCATCCCCACCGGTATACCCGACATCCAATTCACGGCGAAAGAACTTGCGAGAAAACTAGCGGCACCCACGAAGGAATACATGAGGAAACTAAAGCACCTCATGCGGTATATGCAAAAAACCAAACACGAACGCCTGCATTTGCAAAACGGCAAAACTTTGAAAGAGGACATTGTTGTGTATGTAGACAACGATTGGGTTGGGAACAAAAAGGCACGGAAATCCACATCTCGCGGTTACGTGTTTTAGGGCCCATGTCTCCTTACGAATTGTAGTCGTACCCAATCAGTGATTGCCCAAAGCTCTGGAGAGGCCGAATTGTACGTATTCGTCTCTGGAGCGGCCGAAGGTTTATTAGCGCAGACAATACTCACTGAAATTGGCGTTGGTGTGACAGTAAAAGTGCGGATTAAATTCGCTTCGTCCGTGGGGATAGCGATAGCTTCCCGCGTCGGGTTAGGACAACTCAAGCACGTCGATATTAAGTAGATGCACATGCAGCAACTAGTCCAGTCATCTCGGGTTCGTTTGGGAAAGGTGCCCAGCGCAAACAACTGCGCAGACTTAGGAACGAAATTTCTCGAACACAACACGAGGCACCCAAAACGCTCCTGGAAACCCCTGGGGCCGCCAAGAAGCCCCCAAGACGCCCCAAACGGCCTCCAAGAGGCCCCCAAGAGGCCCGAAGAGGCTCCCCCAAGGCACCCAAGACGCTCCTAGAAGCCCCTGGGGCCGCCAAGAGGCCCCCAAGACGCCCGAACGACTCACACCACGAAGAGCCCGAACGACTCACACCAGAAGGAGGGGCCCGAACGACTCACACCAGGACGAGGCGCCCGAACGACGCACACCACGAGGAGCCCGAACGACTCACACCACGACGAGGGCCCCGAACGACTCACACCACGAGGAGCCCGAACGAGTCACACCAGGAGGAGGGGCCCGAACGACTCACACCAGGACGAGGGGCCCGAACAACTCACACCACGAGAAGCCCGAACGACTCACACCAGGACGAAGAGCCCGAACGACTCACACCACGAAGAGCCCGAACGACTCACACCAGGAAGAAGGGCCCGAACGACTCACACCAGGACGAGAAACCCCAAACGACTCAAACCACGAGGAGCGCTTTCTCTCCCTCCTCCTCCGCCTCGTCCTTCTCCCGCTCCCACCACAAGGAGGATGTACAAGGAGGCGGGAGGAAGGAGGAACAGGGGAGATAGGCGGGGGCAGGCAGAAACACGCCTGAAAAACACGACTGTCGGCATGCTTCGCAAGAGTTGCTGTTTTGAGATGGGCTGGTGGGGATACGCGAAGCGTGAAGAATTTCTCGAACATAACACGTTTCAACGAACTCAAGAAGATGATTTGCGCGTGGTAGGCAAGCATGAGCATTCAGCCTCCCAACACCATGCGATACGAGATTCGGACACTTCGTGTCCACAACATTTCGGCTCAGAGGTTCGCCTTTCTGTGCCCGGCCATCCAAATGCAGACAATTCTAAGTGAAGTTGTGTTAGCTTTCAAGCGATGTCCTTCTTGCGCCGACCGCGATGTCTTCTACAGCAGCAGAGCAGAGACACCAGAAATGAAGGGAGGGCCAGAGCAGCTAGACAAAGCGTTGACGCACCAGCTGGTGCAACACCTCACTTCCGCGAGCCACCACAAAATGGACCAGAGTCCGGCTCATGCCCTAGCGGGCGCCGTTCCGGTTCAGCACACTTCCTCGCATGAGAAGCCGTGGCCAGAAGTGCCAACGGACAGAGCCTGGAAAGCGGCACTGCTGCCGCCACCGCCGCCAAGACCTCCGAAGGGAGGTAAGCGGGAAGGACTGGGGTGTGACGAGCAGCGCGACTGGTCTCGGTCCTGCCGCCGCCGGCGCGGTCGCTCGTCATCCTCGTCAGCAGACCGTTCGTCATCGGTGTCGGCAAAGAGGCGCTCGCAGGACGAAGTCCTGAACGACGTCCTTGCTGATATTCCTTACCTGAAATTAGAGAGCCTTGTAAAGGTCCTCGGTGCCGTGAGCCAGCGCATCGAGGATGTTACTGCCCAGAAGTGAGTGAGCGAGCAGCGAGAACAGTAGGAGCACCAATCCTATATAGCAGGTTTTTCAAGTGACTTGCACAGTGCGGAAATTATTTTCCGAGGGGGTGTGTTGAAGTCAATCGCATGTTCCCATCTCTCGTCTCACCTCGCTCTCTGCCTGCACCGCAGCCGGCTTGGCTCAAGCTGATCCCAGGAAAAACACATTACTGTCTTGGGTCAAGCTGATCCCAGGAAACACACATTGCTGTCTTACAGGAGGAGGAGGAGGAGGAGGAGGAGGAGGAGGAGGATAAGGAGAAGGAAGAGGACGAGGCGGAGGAGGAGGAGGAGGAGGAGGAGGAGGAGGAGGAGGGTCTCGAAGGTCGTCGTCGTCGCCGTCGGACCATGCTCCTCGCCGCCCTGCTCGCTCCTCCTGCGCCCGAGTACATCCCCAGACATACAACGTCTCGATTCGTTCGAGAATCTCGTCGTCGTCGTCGGACCTCCCCACCACTTCCACGGGACCGGTCCTTCGTCCCGAGTCGCCTTTTGAGGGTCCCGAGGCCCGGCGAGGGCCCCCCGGGGCCGAAACTGGCCAGAAACATCTCTCATCTTTTTTGGCGTCGCGTTCCTGTCTGGGACTGGGAGATTTCCTGGTCCGGCGCAGCGCGGGTTTGGGCCCCCGAGGGCCGGCGGCAGCGCCGCGTAGACGCCCCACGCGCCAGCGCCGCGGGCGGGGCCGGGGCGCCTCTGGGGCACGGGCACGCCCGCCTCGTCCAGGGACGCCCAGTAGAACCGCGACCTCCACGCCACCTCGGCGCCGGCCTCGACGTCGCCGCGGATGGCCCTGCGCGTCTCCGCGTCCACAAACCTGCCCGGCTCGAGACGGTCCATTACTGACAGCAGGGGTGCGCGATGCGGGTGCAAGCCCCTCGGAGGCCCATGCCGAAGCTGCTCGAGCGGGGCTGGCCATCGAAAGTGGTCAAGGATGGGCCGAGGAGGCAAGGATGCCAGGGTACTCTTGGGGCAATGTCAACGTTCCCTTATTCGGCGATTCGACATTGGGCGGAAAGGGGGGAAGGGGGGGTCTGGCTCCGGACCTCTGCTCAGTGCGACTGTTTGCAACCGTGCGTCCTGTGGGGGGGACTCCACCTGCTCGAAGCAGGCGCCAGAAACAGCCAAGATCTACTCCACGAAAGAGGGGGGGAGGGGGGGGGAGGGCCCGCGCCGATCGGCAAAACAAGGAATACGAAAACGATCACAAAGTACCCATCCCTACGGCAAGTTCGTGTCGTGCCGACCCCGGCGTTGGTTCCTGACACCGCGGGAACCGTTCAACCTTGAACGATCGGTAGTTTACCAAACGCCCGATCTTTCAACATCGACTGATTTTGGCTCGCCAGCGGCGTTCAACCTTGAACACCCGCGCTGGGGTCGCCGCTGGTCGACACGACGCATCTCTCGAGCCGCACCGACACGCGGTGCCTCTGAGGGGCCCGACGGCGGTGCGCACAAACGCCCGGCGCGATACAGCAAGGCTGCAGCGCCTGGGTCTCTCAGGGAACCGCGCCGATCGGCAAAGCAATGAACAAGAAACAGATCACCAAGTACCCACCCCTATCACCCGCTTGGACTGTGGACCCACTCTCTCTGCGGATCTTTTCGAGCCGTACCGACCCGCGGTACCTCTGGTCGGCGGCGAGCGAGGATGGGAAGTGAGAAAAGGAGAAGGCCTTATCAGGAGGCCCGGAAGTTCTCTGGCCTTCTGAGACGCCCACCGCCTTCTGATAAGGCCTTCTCCTCCTCCATTTCCTACTCCTCCTCCAAGTTCCTTCTCCTCCTCCTCCTCCTCCTCCTCCTCCTCCTCCTCCTCCTCCTCCTCCCCTCTCCCTCTCCTCTCTCCTCCTCCTCCTCCTCACTCCTCCTCCCCCTCCTCCTCCTCCTCCTCCACCTACCTCCTCCTCCATTTTCCTTACCCTTCCCCTCCTCCTCCTCCTTCTCCTCCTCCTCCTCCCTACCTCCCGATCCTCCAATTTCCCCATCCCCCCTTCCCCTACCTTCACTCCTCCCCTCCTCCTCCTCCGCCTCCTCCTCCTCCACCTCCTCCTCCATTTCCTTAATTTCCGCATCCTCCTCCTCCTCCTCCTCCTCCTCCTCCTCCTCCTCCTCCTTCGGGGCCCGACGGCGGCGCGCACCAAACACGCCCGGCGCGAACCACGGCGGGGCCTGCACCCGCCCGGGTCTCCCCCGAGGAACCGCGCGCCGAGGGGCTCGCCGAAGGCCACGGGCCGCGACCGCACCTCGGCGGCGCGCCAATCGGGTCGGGCGAAAGGGGGGGATCCATCCATGTCCAGCCCTAAGATTGACACACCCAAGGCGATCAGAGTTTTGGGCGTGCGCCCAACAGGAGCATCATGACTGCTTACGATCGGCACCGCGATAAGGTGACGCCGATCCTAGGCATGGGGGTGTTTCGGGCCGGGCGAAAGGGGGGGATAGCAAAGGGGGGGGTTCAGAATCAGCTCACGCAGCTGACTTTCCCGGCGCCTCCCGGCGCCGGAGGCGTCCATGCATCGAGGAACGGGCCCCTCGGCGAGGCCGAAACCAGCTGCATGCAGCAAATTTCGTACGCCCCCCTTTCCCAATCCCCCCTCTTCGTCCGGCCCGGGCAAAGGGGGGGATACAGTCAACAAGTATAGCAAGGATGCGCGAAAAGGATGCAAGGGCCTTGGACGCCCATTTCGAAGCTTTTCGAGCGGTACGCGGCCAGCGAAAGCGGCGAAGGATGGACCGAGGAGGCAAGGATGCAAGGGTACCCTTGGGAAGGTTGCCCGTCCTTACTATGCGGGCTGACTGTAGAGTTGGGTCGGGCATGTCCCCCCACAGGCGGATTTTGGGCGAAAAATAAAAAGTTCGCCAAAAATATCAAACATACTAAAAACAAATCGTCTCCAGCAAATGTGTTGACTATTTTTGAATATTCCACCTGTAGAGGGACAGGCCCGACTTAAGAATAGGGGGAGGGGGGAAGACTTCTTAGAAGGAGGCTGCGGCCAGCAACTGGCAGCGGCCGCTGCCCGGCAGATGACACTCGCCGTCGTAATGACAATATCGCGGCGAAACCGGTAACGAATCCTCGCCAGAGCGAGCAGAAGGTGCTGCTCAGAATCCGTGCTGCTCAGAACGAGACTTCGGCGTTGGCTCCTGACACCCTCCTCCTCCTTCCCGAAACATCGGGCGTCTCGAACAAACATCGGGGCGGAGGCTTTCCGATATCTTCGGCCTCTGGGGGCCCTCGCCGGGCCTCGGGAGCGTCAAAAACTGACCAAGGATGAAAAACGATTCCCGGGGAAGGGGTCGAGACCTCTGGAGGTCGACGTCATGAAACAAATTGAAGGGGCCCCAGGACACACAGATAAATACACACAAATAAACAGGTTCCCCATATTTTCCTGTATTTGCTGGGTTTTTGTATCCCCCCCCCCACTTCCCATATTTTTGCATATTTTCTTGGAAATCGAGGATTCATTGTGTCTGTGTGCTTTTCCCTCTCCTGACAAATCATGGCGTCGGGGGTCGGGGTTCGGCGCGTGGCAGGCTCGCGCCGTGCCAAGGGGGGGTCCACAGTCGGCGTGCGGCCCGTTCGCGCCGTGCCAGCTTTTGGCGGCGCGCACAAGCGGGGTACAGTCGGTGCGCTGGAGAAGGAACCCTTTTCGTTGTGGAGGGGCTCCGTGTTCCTTAATTGTTTCACAGCTTGCCTCGGGGGTTCCTTATGTTTTCGATGGGAAATCGAAGTTTAACTCATTTAACTCATGGAAAAAAAGGGGCCTCGTTCCTCATTTAGGGTTCCTTAGGTCAACGCCCCGACTGTATGGGGGAGGGGGGAGGGCTTCTGAGAAGGAGGCGGCTCCTTAGAAGGCGCGGGCCTTACCTCTACAGACACGGGGCGCGCCTTCTGAGAGGCAGGGGTGCTCCCAAGAAGCCTTGGCCCCTCCCTCCCCCTGTTCCCCCCTCTGCGGGCCGCGACCGCGCCTCCCACTCGCCGAACAGCCACGACGGGTACACGGACGGCTCCTCCGAGGAGGAACAAAAGCAGCGTCAGAAGTACAGACTTCCGACGGCCCGCGCCTCGGAGGAACAGAACTCGCCAGAAGCATGCACCCTCGACGGTCCGCGCGGACTTTCTGGATCGGCGCTGTCCTGCCTTTCCTCCTTCCTGCCGTCCCCTCCTCGCTCTTCCTCGTTCCTCCTCGCTCCTCCTCGCCCATCGTCGCTTCTCATCGCTCCTCCTCGCTTCTCCGCCCCTTCGTCGAGGAGGAGGAGGAGGACGAGGACGAGGACGAGGAGGAGGGGGAGGAGGAGGGCGGCGCTGGAGGCGCCGCAGGGGGGGGGGGGGTCCAACGCGGATCCAATAGATCCGCGCAGACATCGTCTGGGCGTCGTCTGGACTTTTCCAGGGCACCGTCTGGGCGTCGTCTGGCTCTGTCGGGGCGTCGTCTGGACCTTGCCTGGGCGTCGTCTGCGCGTCGCAAGTCCGCCCTACACCCTGCGAAATGCTCAAGAAATCATGGGTTAAGAAATTCAGAGTCTGCGAATTTGAATAAAAAAACCCGAACTTCTATTAACATCTTGGGATTTACATTGAAAAGTTAAGAATAATCGAGACTCTGGACGAAAACTTAGGTTTTCTTAAGCATCGCCTAAGGTGTAGAACCCCCTCCCAACCCCTTACATGTGACGGGGGCGTTCCCAGACATCTGGCGTCTCGACTTTTTCGAGGTACGGGCCCCCGACCTCTTGACCACGTCCCCGTCCCGAGGCCCGGCGAGGGCCTCGAGAGGCCGAAAAATACGAACACCCTCCGTCCCGATTTGTTCGAGACGCCGGATGGCTGCGTTGGCCACCCCAATTCATGCTTATGTATTCTTCGGCTCCTGCGCATCGGCCGCCGCCGCGGACGACCTCGGGTTCGCCAGCGCCGCCCCTGGCAGCAATCGCTCCCGTAGCGACGGGGCGGGAGCCTCTGGGGTACCGAGCAAATGGGGTCGGAGGATCGCGCTGCATCGAAAGTGATTCGGTGAAGTATCAGTAATGCATCGGCGACGTAGGCGATGCATCGGCGACGTCGGCGTGGAGAAACTTGAACTCCACATTGAGGCGTATCGGCGATTCATCGGCTATACGGCGCGATCCGTCGACCCCATCTACTGGGACCCATGTTGGAAACCTGGAACCATAGCCCCCGCAGATGCGGATATGAGTCCAGGGGCGGAGGCGAGGATCGTCGGCAGTCCGCAAGGCTCGAAAACAAATTTGATGAAGCCCGCCGCAAACGCCCGACTTTTACACACACAACGAGCCTGCCGAAGGCGCCGAATTTAGTCAACGCAATGTGGGTGGGTCGCGGGTGGGTCGCGGGGGTGTCACGGGGGGTCGCGGGGGGGACGGCAACAACAATAACATCAAAATACAACAAGGAAACATAACCTGGGCCACACAATCCCACCTCACCCGCGCAAATCAAGATGGTGTAAAACCATTCGGCTCCCTCGCCCTAACAATTGTTTCACTATTGCTTCATTCCCAAATGTCTTCCTGGGACCGTCAAACATGGATCCGGAACGAGAAACTGCCCCCAAAGAGAGGGTCGAGACACCCGAGGCCGCAGAGTGAACAAATCAGATTGGAGGAAACCTCGAAGATCCCCATGCCGCTGCCCCGTGGACCCCTCCAGGGGTGCGTTCTGACCAGAACCCCCAGGCGAGCCCAGCAGTTGTGACAAGGGCTCTCGAGGACGAGCAGCGGCATCGGTAGCTTTTCGAGGAGGGGCTCGACTACAGAATTGATTTACTCCAGAATTAACTTCCGTTGAGTCTACGCGTAGGATGTTCCGTTTAAGCCTAAGGGGCATCCATTTCTCGTAGATTCAACGGAGAAATGAATTTCGGGGTAGATCAATTCTGTAGTCGATCCCCTTATTCGATCGTTTTTTCCCCTGAACGACGACGACTGCCCTGACATCCGCCGATATGCTTTTTCACCCCGCGGCCTCAGGAAAATCTCGACCGCTTCCCCTGGGGTAGCCCTTCGCCCCAGATCCGCTTCGTGCTGTCCTCGGGGCCCGGTAAGGGGCCCCGCGGAGGCCGAACTCGGATGACAACGACTGCATTGGAAAAGTCGAGACGGAGGCCTGGGGTACATTCGGGCTGCTGAAATAACGAACGCTGAATAAGGAACGAAACCCCTCTGCGGCTTCAAAAAAGCCTGGGTGCACGAGAAGGGCTAGAGGAACAACCACGGACAGGACGCAAGGAACATCGAGCCCCTCCGAATCCAAACTGTTCCTTATTTCATCGTCTTGGCTGTACACCTTGTCCTCCTCCAGGACGGTGTCTTCTGTGCACTTGACACACTTGTCAATGGTGTCCTCAGTGCAGGCCATATTGATATCATCAACGTGTTCGTCCGTGAGCAGGTGGTTGCTCGTCTCGAACTCCTCGTCGTAGGGCGTGGGTCCGAGACCAAAACCTCTGGTGGCCCTTCTGGGCTTTAGTGATCTGCTCCACGGCAGCCTACGTGGCCTCCGGCGCTGCCCGATCTGGGTGTGATCTGGCTCGGATCTGGAACACATCTGGAGCTGGGGAGACGGGGGAGGAGAAACAGGAAACTAAAAGGAGGAGGAGGAGGAGGAGGAGGAGGAGGAGGAGGAGGCCTTCCTCATCCTCCTCCTCCAGATTGGCCACTCCACGGGGAGACGAGAAGGACGAGGCGGGGGAGGAGAAACAGGATGGGCAAGGAGGAGCAAGCGGAAGGGCCGAACGCGGTCCAGCCGCAGGGGATCTGATTTCAGTGTCGCCGCCCAGGGCTCCCGTGAACAGACATCGAAGGAAATCGGTCAAGAGGGGGGATGGGGCCTAATCCGCTCAGAATTTGTCACCAAACCCCTCCCGGGGTCCATCTGGTGAAGTTTCTCATCCAGGATTCGTTTTTGACGGTCCTGGTACCCTGAAGAGGAAACGTTCAATGCTAGCTGGCGTGGACCACAAACAATGACTTATCGCATTGTGAAAGTGAAAGATATGTCGTGTAAGCTATGTGGTGTACTGTATGTTGTGTAAGCTTGGCGGTGTGAGCTATGCGGTGCAAGCTATGTTTCGTAAACTACGTTGTGTGAGATATGTGGGGGCAACTAAGCCGTGCCAGTTATGTGATGTAAGCTATGTCGTGCAAGCTATGCGGTGCAAGCTATGCTAGGTCAGCTATGTGGTGCGAGCTGCATGGTGTGAGCAACGCTGTGTACTATAGGGTGGTAACCTACTTAGTGCGAGATCTGTGGTGCAATCTATGTGGTGTGAGCTATGTGGCGTAGACTGTGGTGCGGCGACGGACGGGAACGGGGTCACCGGGCCCGTAGAGGGGTGCTGGCGGCGCGCACAAGTGCGTGGAGGGAGGGGAGCGGGAATCTTAGAAGGAGGCTGCTTCTTAGAAGGCGCCAGCCCTACATCTATAGGTCAGGCCCGCACCTCCTAAGAAGCAGGGGTGCTTCTAAGAAGCCCTCCCCCCTCCCCCCACCCCCCTCTGCGCGTGGCTGGTCAACACGGCACAAAACCTTTTCGGACCCAGAACGTCAAACCTCGAACCGCCGACTCCAGGGCATCGGCATCTTCCTCTCCCATCAGGACCACTTCCCGAGGGCCAGTTGTTCATAGGGATCATCATGTTGACGATTCTGGGGCCTTGCGAGGCCCCCCCAGACGCCGAAGACGGCGAAGCACCTGCGTCTTGATTTTCTCAACGTGCTGGAGGTCTGGGCCATCCCCCCTTCCCTGAGATCCGACGGCGCGAACATATGGCTGCAACGTAATCAAAAGTAGCAAATCACGAGCGGAGCCCCGAACCCCATCTTCTTTCGCAATTTTTCGAGCCGGATCGATGTGACAGGGTCCCAGGCGAAAACGTCAGCAGCACCGGTGTCCACTTCGCCCCAGAGCTAAGGGGCAACCTATGGGGGGGACTGGCAGATCGGGGGGAAACAGCGACGTGGAATCGGCAATTCCCCGCCGATAGATCGGCGCTAGGACCCGCAAGGGAATCCGCACTCCCATGAAAAGGGTGGGTTATCAGACTATTTTCTGCGATCATACGGCGATTGGACGTCGATGCATCCCCCCATACCCAGACATCCGACGCATCGATTTTTTCGGGACGCGCGCTCCCGACCACTTCCCCGGGACGAGTTCTTCAGCCCGATTCGTTTTTTCGACGTCCCGAAGCCCAGCGACGGCCCCGAGAGGTCGAAAACCACGAATAACCTCCGCTTCGATTGTTTCGAGACGCCCGGTGTCTCGGTACGCGTCGTATCCCCCCCCGTACTGTTGGGTCGGGCGTGTCCTCCTACGGGCGCATCTTTGAAGGCAAATAATGCATAGTCAATCATACTTAAAAATAAAATAACAATCAAAACATCGTCCCCAAAAGATGTTGTCAACAGGTTTTGAACACTCCTGCTGCAAAGGAACATGCCGGACTAACTGATCACACTTGTCCACGTTTGCATTGAAGTTTTCGGGCGCTGGCAGAGGTGGCCCTGGCGCAAGGAGGCCCACACTTATCTGGGGAGGCCGCGGCGACGTCCCAGCTGGCCCCCAGAGTACCACCCACGGAGTCGAATGACCACTGGTTGCTTCCTCCCCGTCTCCGTGGCCACTTGGCCTGGCAATCTGGTCTCGGAGCGTCTTCGTCGCCGTCATGCCTGATATGGATACTCTGGATGTCTTTCACGGGAATCCGTCTCTCTTTCTGTCGACAATTCAGCTAAAGAGAAACCTCGGTTTGCTTGAGCCCAAGTGGGCTGAATGAAAGCTACCTGAAGTGCCTGCTCTGCCGTGCTGTTCTCCCCCGCTCTCCACATGCACCCTTTCACTCATGGGGTTTGGGGAAGGCCTCTGGGGTCCCAGACAGGCGTGAACAAATACGCGCAGCTTGGGCCGGGCAAGCCAGAAAAGGAACACCGGCATCAAGCTAAACCATCGGAGGGCCGCGCGGATGTGTTAGATTCCTCCTGTAGAAGGACACGCCCGACTTAACCCGATTGTTGTCCGCAGCGGCGGCACGGGCGGCCTCGGACCTCACCCGGGGTGCGTTCTGCACGGGATTTCGAGACGAATCCAGCAGTGGCGACTGGGGGCTCCCAGGAGGCCCAAACATGGGAAAACGGGCGAAGGGTGGAGGTAAGTGGTGTGCGTGCCTTTTCCTCCTCTGAAAGGCGCCCAGTGTCTCGGAACGCATTCCCCCCATCGCTCGCCGCCGAGAAGAGGAGGAGGAGGAGGAGGAGGAGG